GCGCCCCCCCCCCCCCCCCCCCCCCCCCCCCCCCCCGGTCTTGCCGGTCCCAGTTAGAGGCAGCATCGGTGGCACCGTTCTCTCATCCTCTGGGAGACGGCTCCAGCTGCTGCCCTTCCCTGATGGTGCTGCTGTTCCCTGGCCCAAGGAGAGCTTGGTCTCCGAAGGACCTCCTCCAGGCTGTCATTGGCCATCCAACATCTGGGCCAGCCTGCCGCATTCTTGCACTGCTCTGGCAGTCACTGGGGGCCTGTCACAGTGGCCCTGACTACGCATGCTACCTGCCACTTCACCGCGCTGTCCTCCCCCTCCACGCGGGGGAAGCCTGCCCAGCACCATGCCCATCTCACAGTCTCTGTGGGTTACTCAACAACCCCAAGCCCCTCTCATCCCACCGACCCGCACATCAGGCTCTTCACAGGCTGCCTCCTTGGACAGGATGGGAGACCTGGGGACGGGCCCACCAGCTCCCAGCACTGGGCCAGCAAATGCCAGGAAGTGGCAGACACAGGGAGGGTTTCACCCACTACAAAGATGGCTTCCACCCTCTTCAGTTTCCCCTACAGCCTTTCCCCCACTTCCTGTGCTCTCCATCTTGGTTAGTGGTTTCACCTTCCACCACAGTGTCTACCCTGGAGATCTTGACAGCTTCTCCAGCTGCTCCTTCTTCCCCAACATGAGTCCACTAAAGAGCAGCAGGTGACAGTGACTGTTTGCTTAAGCCCACATGCCCAAGGCAGAAGTGGTCTTGGCAATTCACCAATTACATCAGAGTTCAGTCCAAACTGACCTTCGTGGAAAAATTTCCTCTAGCCCCCCCCCCCCCCGCCAGTCGGCCTCCTGCTTGAACACACCTGGCAACGCCTCACCACCAGCTCTCCCAAGGCAGCACACCCCACCACCATGGTAGACATGCTCAAACTGCCCAGCTGGCTTCCACAGCTGCCTTTCCAGAATCTTCCCAGAACCACACACAAGGAAATATGCTCCCTTAAAATGGCCAATGGACATATCCAGGTCCCCTAGATGCCCCATGCACCATTCTCCATGCCCTGCCCCTCCTATCTCATCAGGAGGTGCTTTCAGCTTCCCTGAGTTCTTGGTGCCAACTTCGGTGGGTGTTCACTGCCTGGAGGATGCCCTCCCAGGGCATGGGGAGCTGAGCGCTGAGCAACTTCCAAGGCTACAGGACAGCAGGAGTCAAGCCAAGCTGAGCCAAGCCGAGAGCCCACGCCAGGGCGTCCCGGCCAGCATGTGGCCATGAGGGCCAGCCCTTGGAAACAGCACAGGTTGAAGGCCTACTCAGGAACACTGGCAGCTGACAACCAACGTGGATGAGGCTGCGCACACAGAGCCACCTCCACAAACCGCGCTGCTGGCTCCCAAGCCCCGAGCAGCTCTCCAGATGGCAGCCACTGAATGTGCATTCAGTGCCAGGCCAGGGACAGTACACAGGGCTGGGCGGGGGAAGTTGCCCGACTGTGTAGCTGGCCAGAAACCAGGCTGCTGGCCGCCTTGCCTGGGAGCACACCACCGATAATAATCACTTCTTCCAAAGGAACAAGAAGAATGTGCCCAGGAAGTCTGGGTTTTCCGGGACAGGGGAAGCGTCAGGAAGAGGGTTGGTCTTGCTTGTTTTGTTTCGAGTCTCAGGGGTATAGCCCAGAAGTTGGGAGGAAAAGTGAGGAGACTGCATCACAGAGCAGACAGTGCTGTACCAGTGACAGGTCACAGGCCAATGGGCTCCTGGCCACCGGCGCTGTCAGCACAGGACTCTGCCCCTAGAACTCAGTGACTGCGGGCCCATCTTTTTATCTCAACCTCCACTTTCTCATCTGCCAAAAGAGAGCGTTTCTGGAGCCCACCCTGGGAAAGGGCTTCTGTTGACGCTACAGAAATGGTATTTCTTCTGCGAGGTTAAAACTCACTAATCATGAGCCACAGTGTCTCGCCACCCACAGCAGGCTGTCCGGGGCACTCCCTGGACTTCCGTTTGCCTGTGTGTAGACGGGGAACAAGTCAGGCTTGGCCGCTCCTCGGAGACTCCCAGGAGGACAGGGACAGGAATGGGAATGGCTTTGCAGATCATGGGGCTCAGCACCCCCCCTCCCTCTCACACACTTCTCAGTACTGGAGAACTCAGACCGCGGGGTTCGAAGGACACCTTTCCTTCCCTGTTGCCCTCCAGGGTCACGGCAGGCTGTTCAGGAGACTGCCAGCTTCAGCGCGTGAGGAGCATTACCCGTGCTCTGGAAGTGCACGTGGACTCCCCTTCCGCGCTCCAGCCTGCACCCACCCACCCGAGCAGATCCACACACACTCATCAGCAAAGGAGCTGCTGAGGTGTTGCCTGGGGGCTCACACGCCGGCTGCCAGGCCCACCAGGAGCCTGCCCTGGGTGACTCAAAGGGAAACTCAGCTGGAAATGTCTGCCCTTCCCCTGCTGTCTGCTCACCACCTCCCCAGGGACACCCAACACTGACACCAAACCTGGGCTACTGCCCGTTCACAGTGTTCCTGCCCCTACCCAGTGACCCAGGCCTCCCCTTCCCTCCTCAGAGTCCGGCTTAAATTTTCTAAGACATCCCATCACCTACCTCTGGCCAGGCAGAGCGCATGCACTTAGGAAACACAAGCTAAATGAAAACGCTCACTCTGGTTTCTTGATAGTAAGACAAAAACACAAACTCTAAATGCAAGAGTTCCTCTGTCTATACAGCCGTGCGCAGTCTGTCAGTCTGTCTTTCCAGATTGCTGGATGATTTTTCTTGCCGTCAATCTAAAAGAAAGTATCTCTTTTTAGGCCAGGATATCCAGCCTGGAACAACCTCTCCTCAGAGGGCCTGTCTCCTTCATCCCCAACCTACAGTCAACATGTGGTATGCATGTGTGGTGTAGCACGTGTGGTGTGCACATGTGGTTTAACACATGTGGTGTGCACGTGGATTGCAGCACGCGTGGTGTGCACGTGGGGTGCAGCATGCATGTAAGAGGCTAGGGCGCTGTGCAGAGCTGGGTGCCATGTCTGGCTCCAGCACTCACTGTGGAGCGGCAATTTTTTCATCTGTGAAACAGGAACAATACCACCTCAGGATGGCCACTGAGCACACATGAGCTACCTACTTTGACATCTCTCCTCCCTCTCTCCCATCCTGCTTCTTCCCACTATTGCTGCCCACAGCGCCGACGACCAAACATGAAGGTTACTAGGAACTTCCTCCATTGGAGCATTCGGCCAACACTGAGCACAGGGTTGGTCCCAGACAAAGGGACCACGGTGGGAGAATCTCAAAGCAGAGGGCGCCTGGGTTCCTCAGCTGTCCCGAGACAATGTCCTGACGGTCACCAGGCTAACCCCACTCCCTACTGCTGGCCCGACAGTGGCAGCAGCCACGACTCTGGAGCACACACCTCCAGCTAGGGGTGCTCTGGCCTGGACAGACGGCAGCACCTTTACCCACCCACCAACAGAGGCAGCACAGTTCATCTGCAGACATGGCAGAGGTCTGCCAGGAGAGACCCAGATGAGCCCCTCCTTAGCAAGAACAAGTAGTTAGGATGTTAACAACTTACGGATCACCTGGATCACCCGTAAAAAAAGACAAAGAAAGAAAGGCCCTCCCTCCAAGGTCAGCTGAATCCATGGAAGACTATACCAAATAACTCCAGCTGGGGAGGAAGTGCTGCTTCTGCCAGGAGGCTTGGTACCCAAGTCTATCTCAAACGTAAGGAAACCCCACACCACAATGCAGATCTGACTTGCCTCCTTTGGCATACTTGCTTCCACGCAGTTTCAATAAACTCAGAGCACTTCAAGTTCAATCTGTTCCCACTTAGCTCACCTTCTACCTATGGCCAGGAGCACATCTGCCCACCTCTCTTCACAGGCTCCTGAGGTCTCTGCAGACACAGGTGAACCAGGAATGACTGCTAAGATGGACACACTTTATGCAGTCCGACAGCAGCGGTCTCACCATCTACCTATTTCTCCTCTTGCTGAAAAACTACTTCCCAACTGTGTGTGGGTGGTGGGTGGATGGATGGATGGATGGATGGGAGGATACATGGACAGAGACCCACATGGACAGCTGGTCCTCAGGTGTGTCTCTGCTGTGGCTCACAGAAGTGAGGTCTCATGTGGTGGGGAGTGCAGACTTCCCTTTCCAAAGTGTCAATGCAAACCGGAAGAGACAAGCTATGCAAACCGGAGGAGACAAGCTGCAGAAATGCTAGCCTAGCCAGGGAAGCATCTGAGTCCTCAGCTTTCAAAGCGGCCACTGGGCTCCTTACCTCCCTGGGGCTTAGAGTAACTTGCTTTCCACCTCCGGACACTGGTGAGCCCTGAAGGTTGGATTCCAGGGGTAGCTGTAATCAGACACCATTGTGTTGTATTAATTATTGTGAATGCACTGAATGGAAACTGGAAATCAGCAGGTAGTGGCCTAAGCTCAGCCCTTGTGAAGTTCTAAAAGGACCTTTGAAGCCTAACTGAGTGTTTATAAACCCTTGGCAGAAAATTGGGTGATAGTCTCACCACCACAGCAGAAACACAAGCCGTTATTGTCTGGCTTAAAGCAGCAGGGACCTCACCACTCCAGCTCTCGCCAGGTCTTTGGTTCATGTTTCTTGTCTAACCGCCAATGCAAGGAGCCCTCTCCCAAAGCCTAGAAGCAGCACAAGCTGTCAGCACTAAGGGACCAACACAGCCCTCCGTGAGCGACCACGTACCTGCTTCTCGACCACGGTTAGCAGAACCTTGGCCCCCTCATAGGCCTTCTTTGCCTGGGCCAACCACAGTAAGAACAGTCAGCACTCACTGAGTACTTCACTCTGCACAGGGCACTGTTCAAAGCACTTTACGTGTATTAATGCATCGAATGGCCGAGCCTCACGGGAATGTGCTGGAGAGAAAGAAAGACTGTGGCCCAGATTCCCACATGGTTTCTGTTCTCTATTTCTAGCTGTGCTGTGAAGCTTACATAACCTAATTTGCATTATGGAACTATTTTTAAAACCTCCAAAGATCAGTGCTTCAGCATCAATGGAAGCTGTTAGCTCCTACCTACAATGTGAACGTGGGAAAGGATATCTATTCTTACAGCTACCTCAACTTTAACTCTTGACTTAAAACAGACTTTCTGGAAGATGTTATTAGGAAAGGAAGGGGCTCCTTCTTATATAAGAAGCACTTAGCTCTGCATTTTGTAAGTTTGTTCCAAAGAGAAACAAATTGGTTTGAAACTCCTCAGCACTGGGTCTTGGCTTTACCTCCCATCTCCCTTCCAGGCCTCCAGGGAGGCAGAGAATGCTAAGATCACTAGACAACATGGCTCAGGAGCACAAGCCAAAATCCCACCGAACTTTCCTCCTCCACTTCAGAGGTCCCCGGCCTGTCCTGACGAGGCACTGGCATAGATGAATGGGGATTACTGGACAGGCTATCTTCAGCTGTAAACTGCTCTTAATGTCCCCGGCTTGTAGGGCTCGGAACTGCTGAACTCTAATTGTGCAGGGAAAGGGGAAGGGTGTTTGTCCTTAGTTCTTTGCCCTAACTTACTACCGAAGATTTTCCTCCACTACAGTTACTAAGGAAATTTAAGAAACAGGAAAATTATCGTGAATCATCAACTGACTATACAGGTAAAATTCTCATCATCTGTCATCAAAAAATGTGGTCAGTATTTAAAGTAACCACTGTGTTCTTCGTTATGCTATAAAAACTGAAATGTCTGTTATTTGTTTCATTCAGTTCCCTCACTGGGACAGATGTCTACAAACATGAACAAGAGTAGGTTCCAGGCTGTCAAAACTACCAAGAAGATACTATAAATGAGCCATTTCCAAGGGACACCCAGTCTAGTGATGTCAGAAGACCCACATTATTAAGTTATAATTAAACTATTAACCAAATTAATATTCTTTTGCCACTGCCAATGCTGTATTTGTCTCCCAAAAGTAAGATATTTATAATAAGCCCAATTCCACCAACACTCAAGACTTAAAATGCTTCCACTTAGAGCCTCTGTTCACTAGTACCCAGGAAAGGACCTACACGTGATAGACACTGAGCTGCTGGAGCAGGACTGGTTGCATCTGGTGCTAGTCAGCAATACTGTGCACAACCTTCATTACAGAAGCCAAAGCCACATTCAATGTACATACAGGCTCTGTATGGGAAAGAATGTTGTTCCAGCAACCTTAAAATTAGTAATAAAAAGAAATTTCTACTTAAAAACAAATGTGAGACATGAAGTTCATTTTCATCTAGATATATATATATATGTTTATCAAATACAGCCTTAGCACAGAACATCTAACAAGTAATGAAATATATTAATGGACGCACTGAACAAAGGAAATCCGGATGAAAATATTTGGCCTAACCCTCACATCCTTTAACTGTACTCCATGACTGCTGAATACGGTGGGAACATAAGAAATCTAGCTACCTAAACTGGAAAAGACAGATGGATTGCCTTCAGTCTATTTGGTCTCTGCAGACTCATGGTTCACCATTCTGAGTCTTGCTAAAGTAGGTTCTGCAAATAGTTTTCTAAACTCAATTCCTTATTTTTCATAGTTACCTTAATATTTTGGTTTTTTATTTTCTATTGCTTTTTGTTTGTTTGTTATGGCTTCTTGCTGTTGTACTGGGGTATACAACACAGATCAGAGATTTTCATTTCTCAGAGAGTCGCTCTCCTTGAGAAACTGGCACTTTGATCCTCGGCTCGTGAAGCAGCTGCCTGCTGGGATCCTGCCAGCACTGCCACTAGCCTTACTGCTTAGGAATTTCCAGTGCTTTGGCCAAAATAGTCCTGTCTTTAAAATCTTCTTAGATGAACTGTTCCTGCCACTGAATTCTTACATTTAAACAGGTACGTGTGTATAATTTTCATACGTGCCATTATCCTAAGTTTCTACACACATTCACAAACTTAGGGAAAGTGAAATCTCTCTCCTGAATAAAAAGCAGTTATACGAATATTAAGACAAATGCTGAAAATAACTATTTTACATTTAGACCATAAAATTTTGTTAAAGGTAATGTGATGACATAAGACCTAAAAGATCAAACACATCATATATGATTGTCATATATGCATGTTGTGTTCATTGATAAATTATTTTTCTCTTTAATCAGAAAAGAAAAGAGCTTACCTTTGTATACTGAGATCACAGCTTACAGTCACTATATCTCAGCCTATTTTATACAAGTGATATGGCTACGGAGGTCCGAGGAGAACGAGAATAAAGTGAGATAAACGTGCTGAAAACTGCTTAAAAGTATTAACCTGAAATACACAGAGGGTCCAACACCAGTTTTAAAAATACATTAAGGAGGTATTCCCAGCTCTTCAATTAACAATGGTGACTGATTCATGATTATCAAACATTCACCCAAATTTTTGAAAAAGAAGAAAAGGCTAAATATCAGCAAACTCAATGGCTGCTCCCCAGGTTAACAATTTGAAAGAAGACTTACAACCGCCTGCAGGAACTGTGCACCCCGACTCCCAGCTCCTCATACCATGCACTCCACCCTAGTCAGCATGAGGTATGTTGGAAATCAACTGGCCCAATTACCTAATGCAAGGGTGCTCCTGCAGCCTGAAGCAGCCCAGGCTGTGAGCCACATCCCAGCCAGGCACGAGCCCCCATGCAGAGGATATGGCTTAAAGGAGCACCCCTATCTCTGAGGAATTGTAACAGCACTAACTGACACAGTCAGGAATAGAACAACTCAATTTATGTGCTAAAAAAGTTTAAAAACTGTCAGAAGATAGCATAGCTCACAAGCTAATTCTAAGTACTGTGTTGGCCTGTAAACTCCCTGACAGGAGGCTACGCTAAGAGGGGTTAAGTACAGATATTGCTAGGTTTCCAAAGGACAAGTCTTAGAACAGACACCGTGGCTTTGAACAGAGTATTGCTCTTCTTTAATATGCTCAGTGATTGCTCTCAAAAAGAAGGTGTCAAGAGTGGTATGTATGAAAGCTGGAAAGCCTCAGGGAGCTCTTAGGACCAAGACATAGCAATTGCCATTTCAAGCCAGACAACCTGATGGTTCTAGAAGTCAGAGAAGAGATCTTGAGGGCCCAAGTGAATAATAAATGGTGCGACGCTCAGAGGCTGGCAATAGGGGCTGTCAATGAAAAAACCACCTACAGTGGAGAAAAGAGCAGAGAAGCAAAACTTCACGTTAATTTCATACAATTTGGTGAAGCCAAGAGCTTCATTTATATTTCTCTGCTCTTTCAGCTGTAAGTGGAATTTTCATTACAAAATGGAGGGGTGGGAAGGGCAAAAGGTGGGGGGGAACACTTAATTCATTACAGAATTTAAACAGTAGAACTTGCATGGTTACCACTTCTAACAGAGGACTGACAGCTCAATTATTTTAAGTAAAGCAGAGAAATGTAAAAGTTTGCGGCAACTGGGCAGGTTTACAACATGGTTAGTAACTTCCAACAAACAACAAAATTAAAAAAAAAAAAAAAAAGACTTGGTAGAAACCATTTGAAATGACTGCCATCATGTTGGAAAACAGCACAGCTCCCTTCTCACTGTCTCAGAGAGGGGCTGACTTCTGAAGCAGAGTCAGCGACTTCAAATAAATTTTCTAAAGAGAAATCTCCAGAGAGATTCCAACTTGGAATCCAAATTTTATGATCAATTTCAAATAACAATACAACTGCAGCTGCCAATTAATAGTATTCCAAAAACAAAGAGGCTGTTGTAAATATTTAATTAATAAAAACTGGACACTACCCCAGCCATGCTTTTTCTTCTCAGTGATGGCTCTGTTTCATCCATAGGTCAGCAAAACGAATCAATGAAACATGAAAACTCCCAGCTGAAATGGGCCCTCTTGTTTATGTCTAGCCACTAATGCACAGGATGAGAATGGCAAGTTACAACTATTTCCAGCAAGTGATGAGGTTTTATTAAAGTATCACCCACCAGTAACAAGGCCAAAGGTCAAGGAGAATAAACAAACCACTGTGTTATATCCATCGAGAAGCAAGAAACACTATTATTTGTTTTATTTTACTCCTTTCACCCTCATTGGTCCCCAAGGAAAGCTGGCACATAAATTTGCCGTATTTTGTGATGGGGATGGTTTCCTTCAAAAGCATAGAATTTAGTGGGGAAGAGGAAAGCTAGCCCATATTAAAATCAGACAATTTTCAAGACAGCAATTTGCACATACTGACAGGACACCTCACTGCTGCCTTGGTGGGGGTGAGTACCTTAATGAAACCATGACCTTCTAGTAACGTCATCAGCTTTCCAAACAAGGTGAGGATGCAAGTGGAGGACTCAGGTCTGCACCCTTTACAGAACAGCACAATGTTACTGACTAATCGGTTTCCACCAGTGTAATCAGGTGTCTTAAAAATAAATGCTGACCCATGGCTGAAACCTGTCACTTGTCACAGCAGCACTCAACAAGAACTGGGACAATCGAAGAGCAAGTTTTTATGGGGACCCTGTTGCTGCTTTCGATTCTGATGTAATTGAAGAGGAAAGGAGACCCTTCAATGAATCCCAGAAAACTTGCTAATCTTCTATCTGTATGAAAAAGCCAGGAAGTGAACACAGGATCTTACAGAGTGAAGAAGGCCACAAGAACAAGAGAGGGTGATTGATCGATTAATTTATTAATTTGTAAAACTTGAAAATTCTGAACTAAAATAATCACATTCCTCCTTCCCGTTCTCTGGGTAGTGCTGTCATTTAATAAGCAATGCTGGGATAACAGACTGCGACCTTTACCACAGGGGGTGCCCTTGCACGACATGAGCACAAGGGCTTACAAAGTAGACTGGCTAGAACTAACCATTGCCTTTGCTTTGTTTTAGCAGTTTGCTTACAAATGAGTGGATTTCTAGGGTCAGTGATTAGTTTTCAATTCTTTATAATTTGATACCAAAACATATCAAAAATAATAAGCTAAAACAATATTCAAACCCATATTTTATTGGCTTTGATTACACACTTCAAATATTTACAAAGTTAAAGTTTAAATGAAAAGTCTCTATTGTATTAAAAAAAGTAACTACAGCCCAAGTTAAAGTGCCCTGGGGCAAATACATCAATCAGCTAAGAGTCCGTGACTGCATCAGGAACCAGGCAGTACTCTGTGTTACAACAAAGCAGTTTATTGTGATCAGTGTTGGAGACTCTATACATCCTTCACAATTTAACTTTACATAATCTGGTACTTCTCTTAAAACTTAAAACTGTGAACTGCTAGACTTTTACTTCCCTAGAACAGAGGGCTGGTATAAGTTATTTTCCAGGAATGAGGTACCATTTCACAGAACTGGTTTCTTTTTGTTTGTTTTCAAGTTTTAGAGAACTAAATTTGCATTTGTTAAAATCAAAAAGTAGGAAAGATGTTTTTTACAAATAATTTTGATCAAGTATGTGTTCAAAGAAAGCAGGATAAAAAGGCTTTTCCTCTAACATTCTGTATTATACGGTATTATTGTTCAATAGGAATTAGCTTCTGTCATTTGCTAAAAGAAGGAGTAGTGGGGAACAGGATATGTTGGGAATTTCATAACGGGTAACAGAACCATTCTCTTGGGTAAACCTACAGAGAAAAGAAACGGAGAGGACTCCAAATAAGTTTAACATGCCAATAAAAATTTCAGGTAAAAAAAAAAGTATCTTACAGTAATTATCATTAACCTTTTCCAGATCAGTCAGTCAACATGTACCATTTTGGAAGAGGCCCACAAATCTCTCAAAGATCTCCTGCTTTGAAAATTCTCTTAACATTTTGATAAATAATATTTTCCACTCAAAATTAAGATGGCTACACCGTAGAAAAAACTGTATTCAAAATGCAATTTCCTTTGAGTAAGCTGCTATGGATTCTAAAGATCAAGAACAAAGCTATTGATTAATGCTCTAAAGTGCCTCAAGAAATCCATATTGGTTCTCAATTTGGCACATCACGTATTACAAAAGAAAAAGGGACTATCCAGATCCAAGCACAGCTTCCTGTGTAGGCCTCAGCTCCGAATGGAGCATGCATGACAGGTCTTTTACCTTCCTAATGGCTACTGCCAATATTGGCCTGGCAAATCTGGAAAGATTAATTACTTTCTTGATTTTGTAATTAACAAGTTCTTGTGGCCTCACAAACTTCTGCATACTTGAGCATGATATGAAATCTGCTCTTTCTATTCTAATATTTAACCTACAGAGAAATCACAAAGCAGCAACAGCAGGTATTCAAGAGCACCAGATGATCAGAGGGAAATTACCCAACATGCAACAGCTTTACAAAGGCCAAAAGACATATATACCTTACAGCCAAAATAAAGCATTGTTTTAGTAGGTCTGCATCACAGTAACATTTAAAAACCAAATCTTTTATGTGAAAAATGGGGGCATCAAATTTCATGAGCTTTGGAAGTCAGTTATATGGCACATGGAAGAGAGGCACCTTCTGCAATAGTGGCTCAGAGGTGAAGGGATCATGTTAGAGGAGGAAAGGGATAGGGAAGAAAAAGAAAAAACTTAAAAAGACCAAGGGGAAACATGAATGTAACTTAAGAGTCTGAATATATAAAAATGTTTTATAAAGGGGGAAAAAAAATCAAGCTCTAGCAAATCTTAAAAAAAAAAAAAAAAAAATTGAAACACTAAATAACTCAGAGACACAGGCTTAAAAACCTGACCCAGGAGGCAGGAAACTGGCACTCTCACAGGACAAGGCACAGTGAGTCTAAGGAGTCAAACGGATTTGGGTCAATTAATTAGAACTAATTCACAGGAAGGGTGAGGCAGTAGGCAATTCAGGAGCCAGCTGAATGGTTAAAAGGCTTGGCCAAACCCAAAGCAGCTAGAGTTTGAATTTAGGAGGAAATCTGGGTGAAAGCATATTCTTGGACTGGTCCCCATTTCCTAATCACCCCACATTGCTCCAGCTCAGAATGTGGGGAAGCCCTGACCACACTAGAGTGTGCCAGAAGAGACATTCAGATAAAAGATGTCACTCTGGGCCCTGCACTTGGCCTTGGAAGAAAAACTTGTTCCAAATGTTTGACTCCTGGACCTTTCCTACCGCTTTCTAGGATATAGATTGTCCATCTTAATGGGCAAGTGGTCAAACTACTCATTTTCTACTTTATTTCTAGGTGTAAAACCAGATGAAGCTTCAGTTAAGCCGTGTCTTAAGGACCCATGATTTCCATCCAAATAAAAACATGGCAAAGCTAATGTGTGAGGAGAAAAAGCACAATGTAAGGTCTGAGGCTCAGGTAGAGGCCAGTGCCACAAGTGGTAACACATGGAAGGCCTTTCCTGTCTGTGCACGCACACTCCGCACGGGGCATGCTGACACACGCCCTTACACACTCTCACACCCACTCTCTCTTCTCTTGATGACAGAAATCATACAGATGGCTGATTCTGTAACATTTAACACCCGAGTTAGGAGAAACGTCTAAAAGCATATCACTGACTCCAAACCTATTGCCTCCATTGCCACATAAACCTCATTCAAAAGCTATCCAAAGGGCCACTGGAATTCACTATACATTTGCTTTTATTTTAGGAGGAGAAAAGACAAATCTATGGTTTTCTAGCATATACGACAGACTTTCTGCAGTGAGCACTTTGGTGACACTGTTGGTGAAAGTCCCAATCACCTCCTCTCAGGACCAGTGACACTGTCACTTCATCCCCAAAGGAAAATCTGCAGAAAAGGACAATGGCAACTAATTTGAAGCGATCATTTCTTCATCTTCTCTCCGATCGTCCATAGTTCACGAGGTTCCAAAACCCAGAAACTTAAGTGCAATTATTTAACTCGGAGGCAGTCAAGCCAGAAAATGGATATGGCCCTTCAGTAGCCTTTGAATGGAGTGTAAGTCGGCTGTAAGAGGAGCTATGTAAAATATTCCATTTCAGTATGGTCAGAAACAGGCAGTAGAACAAGCAGTCCTTGAATCAGGCAAAGCGGAGAGAAGAGCACCTCCAACCAAACCAAGAACCACAAGGTTGTGGCATTTTCAAAGTGAATTTAAGTTGGGTCACTAGAATGAATAGGTCTGAAATCCTCCCACTTAGCTGTAGAAACCCTAAATACAAACTGTGTTTTGGACTGCTGTGACAGAGGGCTAGGAGGAGAGCAGTAAGATGGTGTACATACCATAGGCAGGGGCAGCTGTGCTGTAACCATACGGTGCTCCATAGCCTAGTGCAAAGAAGAAGGAGGCAGGTCAGTCCAGGACCAAGAGCAATCAGCACTGGCCCAATTCACAAGTACCACTTGGCCCAGAACCATGGGCCCTAAGTACTTCCCCAGATGATGGATCAATGGGAACCATTCAAGGCTGGTCCTTGTGTAGTCGACCTGTGTTCACAGTTGCAGAAACGTCTCACCATGGCCTACGAGCCTCTCCCTGACCCAACAGAACATCCCACATCTCTCTTGCTGCACTTCTGCACTGTGCGTGCTGTAATTATCAACTCCTTGTCTGTGTGCCCCACTAGAGCAGTAGGAACCAGATCTTACTCATCTGCATCATCTGAACCTAGCAGAACATTTAGAAATCACTAACTAAATTCAAAGGGTCAAAAAAAATACTTAGAACCACTTGAATTACCAATTTCTCAAAACCAGAAAATAGAACTTTCCAAGCTCCTCCGAAAACAGTGACAGAGCAGACAGAGGCCTGACCTGTCGTTAAAAGAGCGCACAAGGGTCAGGTTGTGAGCCCAGGGGCAAGGTCCATAACTGGCTGGTATCTGAATTCCTGGCCCTGGCCAACATTTCCCACTAAACGCTGACGAACTTAACATTAGCATCTAGTGTTTATGATACAAGTTCACATTATTAAGTAAAAACACTCAGTACATAGCACACAGAAGTTTTTGAGGCAACTGATTCTGGTATTACTTTCTTTTATATCCTTATTTAGACAAGTAACTTCTGAGTCACCACTGTCTCACTGTAAAATGGAAAACCTCCCAAGCTATTATACTTTTTATAGAATGTTGTAGGGGTCAGAAACACTATGCAATAGAAGTTGCCATCTTTTGTCTTTCGGTAAAAATAAATAAATGTAAAACTGGCTAAATCTCTAGAAAAAATGGGTTTCAAATGGAAGAAGGGCATAAAATTACATGCGCCCTTCACACTACCCAAAACAAAAATCAAGAATTCCCACATTACAATCACTTTCTCTAAAACTATGTCTGCTGTTCAGATAGTTTTTCCCCCTTCTCTAGATGATCAACCGCACCCCATCCTTGAGATCAGGATCCAATACCGTCTGTCCTGTGAAGGCTTGCTGCTCACTCCTAGGCCTACTCCCTGCTACTGCTTGCCTCACGCTGCATCATTTACTCAAAGTGACTGTGCCTACCTTACCTGATCCCAAGTGTTCACTGGAACAGACAGTAAGTCTCAGCAATCTTTGAATGCCTAGTTTCTAAATCTCCTGTTTAAGGTTAAGTATGCTGAAGAAATAAAGTGCTTTTAAGGAACTGAGTTTAAACATTCCTGAGGGATGAAAAATTTTTGCTTTTCAACTATATTTAAGCCAGGTAAAACAGAGTAGTACAACTGAGTTTTTATGTTTTTAAATAATTATTTCATTTTATTTATTAATTATTATTATTATTTATTCACCAGATTCAGACAGACACAGAGGGAAACTAAGAAAGTAAGCTGGCAGGTCTGGGGCTTAAACTGTAGTCTACCACGTGGGAGTCCAATACCTGAACCACGATGCCACCTGCTGTCCCATAGAACTCAGTTTTAATGCTCACTAAAGTGTGCATTTCAGGATACAATGCAGGTGAAATAAGCAGTAAGAATAGGATAGAGTAGCAGAGCTCGAATGAGAAAATAATGCTTAAAAAAAAGGTTAGTGCCAGCAGGTGGCATAGTGGTTGTGGCACTGGATTCCTACATGGCTGACCACGGTCTGGATGTCGGACCCAGCAGCTTGAAACTCACACTGGGTGCATATGCGTGCATGCCCAAAATCCCAAGAGGAAAATGGAGAAGCAGGGATTATGGCATGGCCATCCCCTCTGAGGGGTGATTTCTCACT